TCCAGAACAAAACAACTAGCCAACTGAGTTTTGAATTAAAAACCTACCATCATAAATTCAGCCGGGTTTTAGATGAGTCTCTCGGAAAACCAAATTTGTTTGTACATGAAAGTATTTCGCTGCCAGAATTCAGTTTTGAATTAAAATACTCGATTTAAACTTAATTTGAGGGATTTTAGTTGTGGGGCCAAGTTCAAATATTATCTTGTGTATCAAGCAGCTGACGATCTGAGTAAAAGTGTCATTCAGCAGACACTCTGTTCAAGTGATAGGAACTAATCTAGGTGTGAAATAAGTCGAAAGTTCGACCAAGACAACAGAGCAATCTGACACGTTCAACTCGCCTACGGGCGTCATACACAGTTGGACTAGTTGGAGCACAACGAACAGAGACGGGGTGGGCGACAGCGGCCTGCGTGAACACCAGTTAGTAACCCTGTCCAGTATATGCGATCTGTGGAACTGCGGATAAACTATGAAATCCGTCCAGGGTCAAAGGAGAAGCCGAGAGACAACAAAGGTTGTGGCATCTGAACGAAATTCACACTCCATTTTGAAGACGTTCAAACGCATCAGTTGTGAAAATTTGAGGTGAGAGTACAGTTCTGAGATGACATTGGTGCTGATATGTTAGCCTGGAAGCGATAATGCCACTGCGATTGACTGTGTCAAACAAGGAGACGTACGAGTCCGGAGCAACCGGGGATGAACGATAGTTAACGCGGGATGTTGGTGGGGTTACCGAGGAGCCAGGGATTTACAGGAGCCTGCTCAATTACTTACTTGTTTGTGTACTTACATTTGAGGTGAGAGTACAGTTCTGAGATGACATTGGTGCTGATATGTTAGCCTGGAAGCGATAACGCCACTGCGATTGACTGTGTCAAACAAGGAGACGTACGAGTCCGGAGCAACCGGGGATGAACGATAGTTAACGCAGGATGTTGGTGACTTACTTACTTACTTACTTACTTACGTGTTTGCCTTATCGGTTTTTCAGGAGCATGGTGACAAACACACAAAAGTAGACATGGGAAACTTACAGGAGAATATCAGGTTAGACGAGGGAAGCGTTTTATTCAACGTTCACGCATACAAGATCAATCCCAACGTATGTAAGAATATTTGGTATAGAAACATGCGTGTAAGGACCAGCAATTGAATAAGAAACAGACAATGCTGAGTGCCCTTCTAAGCGCAGTAAGCGCTAGCACAGTCAGGAACAGCTCATCGGGCACGATGTTTCCATCATACCGGGTTACGCGTGAAATTGCATGGGGAGAACGCCATTAACCAGGCGTCCACAGTGTTGAGTAAGCTCCAGTCCAACAACTGTCCTAGCAGATTGAGGACAACACGCTCGGCGTAACCAAGTGTGTATCCGCTCGTAACCCAGCAAACTCTGCGAGAAAATCAATGGTACGTAGGACTAAATTAGTAACGATGAAACCTTACGCCACACAATCACTCCTGGCCCACCTGAGTGTGCGTCAAAGTCTGCCACCGTTTTTGGGCTCTCCCGAAAAACGAGTACAGAATGTTCATCAAACCTTCGTGAAGTCATGGTTCCGATTACAGACGATCACCAGGATTTGGTCGGGCATTCCTAATTCCTGTCCAAAAACCGAGAATAAATGCCCGACGTCTTCCAGGAATATAAAAGTTATTCGAAACAGGCGAATCGTCTAAATGTATCGAAAAATGGGCATCATGGTGTTGTGTTGTCTGTCACCCCGTACAACAACAACCTCGTCCAAACCGCGATTGGAAGTCAGAGATGTCGAAAAGTTGGGTCATTCGCACAATCGTTGATCATGTTGCGTGGTACTCAGCGCTAAAAAGACTGTAGGGCTTGCGCACATTCTGTTTACTGTATTGAGTTGGTTCTGCTCACATTTTAGCAACGGAGTAGCTGAGTGGTACGTCGGTGGGTAGGGACCGGTTCATCCACGAATTGACTGCCTGATACAAGCATGTAACCTTTGAAAGTATTGTGGTGGGCTTGACCAAGCATGCGCCTCGGTATTGGGTAGTTTCTTGTGATGTCCATTGGTTGATGCGGTTTCCACAGGCCGTATGTTTTCTCCTCATCGAGCAGTGCCATCGGTTGCTGTCTGTGGTTAAAGATTCTTGTGGCAATGAAACGATCACCATGATCAACAATACGGTATCGAACCCCGGAATTCGGGGGAGACAGCCACAGTACTGTACAATGTGCTCCAACCACCTAAGCTAACTTGCTGATCAGACTTTCTGACTACCAAGCCAGGTTTCGATTTTCAGCACTTACCACACTCACATGTGATCCCCACGAGTCTCCACGTGAAGCCGTACGGTGAAGGGGTATAAGTTTGGTCGTACTTTTTACTGTCGAAATCACCAGCCAGTTAAAGCTCAATAGGGTGGTCGTGTAGAGGTCACTCATCAGATCACGCGTCACAAACACTCGAATCACGTGACAATTCCTTTCCCTATTCCAACCTTAGCCCACAACATGTACAGTAAAACTTCTCAACCATTTTTGTTTACGCGGCTATCAAGTAACAAACATGAAGGGACACCCCTATCTTCACAGTGCACACAATATATAGGCATACAAGTTGGCTCAACACACGCACTCGCACGCAAAGGACAGGAAGTCAATAGAGCTCCGCAAGTCTTCACGGTCAACTACGGAACACGTGTAGCAGCTATACTGCAGAGATGACGCGCCCCGGAACTTCACTCAGGAACTCTAAACAAGTGTCCTCGAACGACAATACACTCTTTTGACTTATTCGAACTTTCGCACTGTATCTATTTTATCAAGTGCACCTAACTATTGTACTCATCACATTTGTTAGTGCTTGTTACCTTCTGGTAGTCAACTTCAACACGCCACAACTAGAGCACTAACAGTCGCCCCAATTGCATTAGAATTAGACATTCAGCACCATCAGCAAATCTTTTAGCGCGCCAACTACCGTCAACCACTATTTCAAACTTTTTTGCTATGATGCTTGTTTATTTACTGACTAAGTGACTTTAATTAGAGGTCAGGTTCGAACCACGGACCTTCCGGCCAGTAAATTCTTGCTTTAACCACTGAGCCATCTCGCCCTACCCCTGAAAAATCTACGATTTATAAGGAAAGAGAAGAACATTTGAAGTGATTGATCGAGGGAAATGTGGAATCAGTGATTGATATAGTGGCAGTAGGGTAAGTATTCAGTTAGGAAAACAATTAAAGAATTGATGGAGAGGGGCCGTTCCAGAGTGGAGCAGTTATTTCGAATGGGAGCGGTACACAAGAAGAGCAATCCACACCAAACAACAAGTCGTTAAAATCAGGTTGGATGCAAACATGAACACTGGCCATTTCAGAAATTTTTCCCCATCTGAAATGACCTATTCGTAGTGTCTTCGATCAAAATTCAACGGAGCGCACAGGCAA